TATGAAAGGCTCTTCTATTCAGTTTTATCAGCAGATGTCTGGTTGCCATAAGACCCTTGATTTTTGTACTATTTGTCAGGCTAGAACTTCAGTGTTAATGCAAGAAACCTAATCTTTAAATATGTTTTTCTTATTAATGCATTATAATACTCTGATATACTGTATAGTTAAAATTATATATAACATCTAATGAAATCATATTTTTTTATAAAAGGTTGACTTCTCTGCCCTTCTAGGAATTCCTGAAAGCACTGATGGCACCCTCAGCAGCTAACCAGTGAGAGTGTTGTCAGTACTAGTAATTTTATTCATACGTGTCTCCTTAACCTTCTTGTCTTGTGGGTGAAAAGTTTAGAATAGATAATGCTAGGACAGCAACAGCCTCTCTCTTTTTTTTCTTTCCCATTATAATCCAACCTGCTGTTGACTTTCATTCAATACCCAATGCATGAGAAACAAAATTGTCCTTCCTGTCACCTTAATGACTCTGGGAACTGAGTTAAAGGGACAGTGTCAAGTTAAATCGTACATATTCAAGGAATACTAGACCAGGGCTGACCAAGTGGTGGCCTTTAAGGAGTTAAATTGTGGTCCCTGAGGCTTTTTGGTACAGCTCTGGAACCCAGAGCATAAATGCTGTTTCCACTTGTCCCACACCCCGCTCCTTGCCTGCCACAAAATTTGGGAACTTTGGTTGCCATTGACAGCAAGGGAAAGACGGGAGGAGGGGGGAATGTCTGGTGGAGGGTGGAATGTTTGCAAATGGAGTGGTGGCAATGTTTGCCCCTGGGTTCTGGAGTCTTGCCAGCAACAAGCTGCTGCCCACTGCTAGAGGTTGGTTCTCTGGCCCATGAGAAGCTCTGTAGTTTGAGTCCAGCCTTGCAGCCAAATAAGTTGAACAGCCTAGTTCTAGACTGAGTCTGAGTCTTCATCAGTTAATGTTTGCTCTACACATCTTTACAATGCTGCTGGAGCAGTTAATTTCACTTTTCTTTGTAGTTAATAGGAGTGTGTATATTTTATAGATTGAGTTTGGGATTGTGGATTTTTATTTTTATTGTCTCTTTATGCTTGTTATATGTAGCTGCTTTATGGGTATGCGCATTTATTTGGTGGGATTTTTTGTTTGTATAGATCAGTGGTTCTCATCCCTTTTGGATTCAAAGCCCTCCTCCATAATTTGTGAATTGAGTGGCACCCAGTTTCAAAAACTAATTTATATTTTACCTCCTTATACAGTGCTTACCTCCCAACACAGAGTCTTGGCAGTAGGGGTGGGGGATCATCCAGGCAAGGACAAGCCTGAGGCTGGCTTATCTGCTTGTCTCCTCCTACCTCACTTATTTCCTCACACCTCGTAGCACCCTTTGGAGTATGTCAGAACTCTGGCTGAGAATCACTGGTATAAATTCATTTGTAAGATCAAGACATGGCATGTTTGTTTAAAATCTTCCAGTGATTGAATCTCCTTTTCTTTTCAGGTTCAGGAATGCAGTGTTGAAAAGTATCTGTGAGGTTCTTGATTTGGAGAGGTCGGGAGTTAATAGTGAGCTGGTAACCAGAATCTTAAACTTCTTAATGCATCCAAAGCCTTCAGGCAAGGTGAGATGGTTTTGTTGTTATGCTTACTCTTCTGATTCAAACGTGGGGTGAGACATGGACAGAAGAAGGATGGGAAATGAGAAATATTGATTTCAGTGGGTGTCCCCTTCGCAGATAGCAGGTTCTTGTGTTAGTCTAGCAAAGAAATGGATGGCTTCCTAATAGTGAGTGGTTTTATATACCTGCTTCTGTAGTGTCCCTTAATCTAGCTGGCCACAGCAGGTCACTTGCAGGTTTTGGTAGAAGACACAGGCTTGTATCTTTCTGCACCCATCATGTTCATCTAGGTTGCAAGAGTGTATATGGTCAACTTCCTGGTGTTACCAATGGATATCTGTACTCAAGCAAGATACAGCCTTTTTGCTGCCTTGAACAGAGAAGAGCCATAAGGCATGATCAAAAAAAATGAAAGGGGTTGGGGAGGAAGGGAAAGAAAACCAGGAAGAAGAGAAGTGTATCGAGGGGGCCCAGGGCAAAGGAGAGGATATGTCCTTCAACTCAAGCATCGGAATCTGTTGGAAACAGTGTGTTTCCCACCTGAATCTGTTGGAAACAGTGTAACAAATCAAGAACAGATGCATTTGTGCCAGCTGTCTTTTAAGCAAATCAGTTTCTGCAATCTATGTTACTTTTCAGGAGCAGCCCTAAAATATGATATATTGGAGCACATACCTTTCTTAGCTCTAGAAAGATTTGCATTTCATACAAGTCCAGCATCAGTAAGAGAAAGCTGCAGCAATGTGTATAAAGTAATCACTTTTTTTAAACCTATTTAAAATTTTTCAGGAAGAGGGCTCTGAAAGTACCCAAATATTCCCCTCACCAAAATATGATTTTTTACATGATGGGACAATAGCTAATCTTAAAATATTTGGATCTTCATATCTGAGGAAATAAATCTCTTAACTTCACTGAGTTATTGAGATAAGGGATTAAAATAATTGCATGGCAAAATGTTAATCCAGAATTATCATTTTTTGTCATTTTAGAGTAGTGGTTCTCAACCTTTTTAGATTCAAGGTGTGCGGGCCGGGAGCGATCCGGGCCCTTTTTGTGCTCTGCGCGGGCTGTGGCCAGCAGCCTGGGCACACTGGGTCAGAGAGAACAGCCGACACGCTAGAATTAGTCACGGACACGTAATGGTTGATTCAAGATTGTTTACTTACACTGAAGATGGTCGCGGTGTAGGCTGGACAGTTTCCCAGGCACAGCTCCGATTAAATCCTCGTTTGAGGACTCAGACAATATTCGATCACTCCCATGGAGTTGTCGAGGCTCCGTGGATCCTTTTATTCACTCACAATTCACTCACACGAAGTTTGCTAGGCTCCGTGGAACTTTTGCGCGCAGGGAAGGGTACGTCGAGGGATCATTCGGCGACAGGGAGAGGCTAGAGGCTGATCAGACCTCTGTTGCCTTCTTGAAATGCGCTGGGTCCAATAGGCTCCGCAGCGCTTAGAGATCTTCATGCAGCATGAAGTCTCCTCCTCCTGGTGTTCATGGAGTCCTCCCTTGCGGGGGTTCTACTCGGAGTTCTCCAACTTGGGCGGAAACCACCCAAGCCTTTTATACGGCTAGCAAGCCAATCACTAGCCGCCACGTGTGAATAATTTCATGCAAGCCAATAATGGGGCTCGAATTAGAATACAAATAGCAGGAACTCTTTGCAAAGTGCATTTCTGTGCTGCAAAGAAGAAATGCACACTGCAAAGAAAGCTACAAATTGGCGGGAAAATAATTCAGTGGTGCCAAAGCACACACAAAAACAAAAATCACACCCTTGGGTTGTGACACAAGGCACCCCTGAATAAATGAGGCAGCCTTTGGAAAATGCCAGCTCCCTAGTTTTCGTTCTTTTTTTGACTACAGAAAAATAATAGAGCAGTTTTCCTGTTGCAAAGAACTCAACACAACTATGGATTTGTTTGAAATCTCTGGGTTTATCTTGAAAATCAAGTTTGCAAACCTAACGATGCTAACATTGTATGGCACCCCAGGGCACCCATCAATGGATCTCAAGGTACTGCAGGCTGCCACAGTGCCATGGTTAAGAATCACTGCTTTAGACCATAAGCTGCTTCTGTAAACTCAACTTCCCTCGTAGACCATAACAGTATGCTAATAAATTTAATTTTATGTAAAATCTTGTAACAGCTAAAGCTATGGTGGACTTAAATATTTTTAAATTCTTTTTTAAAATAGATTTTTAAACTTTTTGGTTCAATTAAAAATGTTAATCCACTGCCATAGCATGTGGCTTGCCAAAACAACCCAGCTTTATGCTGTGAATCAGTGCTACTTGGAGCTTTGCTTATTCTTGTTTCATGTGATTCAACAGGAATTAGAATTTTTTAAATTTCCAACTTCTTTTTTCTGGTCTAATATAATGCATCTGTCTTGAACAGCCATTGCCAAAGTCCAAGAAAACACCCAGCAAAGGCAGCAAAAAAGAGCGCAGTAGTTCTGGAACAGCACGAAAAGCCAAAAACACCAAAGGTCCTGAAATCTTGTCAGATGAGTCTAGTAGCGAGGAGGATGAAAAGAAAGAAAAGGATGAATCGTCTGAAGAAAAAGAGAGTGAAGAGGAGGTAAATACGGTAAAAACGAAGTTTCATGTATATACAAGGCTGAATGAGTGCATCTTTACGTCCTAACTGCTACAGATTGGTAGTGCTTGCTATATACAAAGATGGGGAAAGTAAGGTACCTGGAGGGATAATTTTATACGTAGACAACGACAGATAAGTTAGTATGGTAGGCAGACAAGACTTATAGAAGAATGTAAGATTTTTAGTGTTGAAGCAGAAAAACTAGAAAGATCTATTTCTGATCTTTGCATACATGTTTCTTGTAAAATCAGTTGGTGCACAAGGTAATAAGGCAGCTTAGCAAAATGCATAAAGGTAATGCCTGGTTTATATTCCTTGTTGACTTCGGGATTTTACAGACAAACATTGCTTCTTGCCTGGGGAGTCTTTGAGTGCAGTTGAATATACGCTGTAAAGACACTCCCATTTATCCAGCTGCGTTTCATTGAGATAAGTTTCCAGGTTCTTGTGTAGTTCTAAGATGGTGTACCACCACACTGTGCACTATATTTGTGTGTTCTCTTCAGAACCATTTTTTCATAGCTGAAAATAATAGCAAAGAAATAGAGCTACTCCTTGTTTAACATTGTAGTTATGTTCTTGAAAAATGCGACGTTAAGTGAATCCAATTTCCCCATAAGAATTAATGTAAATGGTGGGGTTAGATTCCAGGGAATTTTTTTTTTTGCCAGACAAAAGACATTCTATACATATACAGTATACGTTTTAAATAATTTTAAGCAAACAATTTAATACAGGTGTAGGTTTTAAATCACTTATACCATCACAACAAGTTAGAAATGTTCCAGGAATACTTGTACTGAAACAACATAAACAACAATGGCTGCCACACTGAAGCAGGTGCGTTGCTTGGCTTATGTCACAAGCAGGCAGCAGCCAAACAATGTTATAACCAACTTTGCTCGACTTTAAATGAGTATGTTCTCTAATAGATCAGCAACATAATAATGAAACAACATTAACTGGGATGACATTGAGGAGTTATTGTACAGTTTCTCTCAAGACATTTTGTATTTTTACCTAGTCATTTCCTCTTCAAAGCTGCCCCCTTATTTCTACACCTTTTTGCAGAAAAGGGGCAATGTGTGGAGTGGCAATACAAGTGTCTGCACAGTGAACTATCATTATGTCACAACCTGGAAACCACTCCCTATGTAGAAGTAAAAAGAGACTCAGGATTCATTTGGTATTTATACTAGGTGGGATTGTCTCTTACCAACAATTAATGTTGTGGGTTTTGTTATGGACATCAATACACTAATCACTGGACTAAGCTAAACTTTTTAAATATATAATCTTTAGTATTTAAACGCATGCATGCACATGCTACTGAACCAGTAAACTTTGGCTGGTGGCAGTAAACTTTGGCTGGAGTACTAAAAGCTAATTTTATATTTTGTTCATCTTTTCGTTAGTACAATCTTCCTGCTGTGAGTAGAGGGATCAGATAACTCCTTCAAAAGAATTCACTTCTCAGTAGCTTGACACAAGTATGAAGAAGCTTAGTGTATACAAATAGCCAACATACTAGACAATTTTAGCTGTTAAAACTGTCAAGAATTTGACAGTTTTGGTTTGAGCCTCAGAGTTAAAGCCAATTTGATCTTCTAAAATAATCTAATTTTGAAGATGCCAACCGTTATAAATCATGTTATTTTCTCTGGTGCAGAGTAAGAAATTACCAGCAGAATGTCACATCTGAATTTACTTCGGTTTGTATTGTGTTTAGGGGTGTTTCTCACACCTATGTATTACTGTCAGGGTGGTAGAGACTGTTCTGGTGGAACTCAGGATGTAATATGTTCCCTGCCCCTCTTTGTTGTAGCCACCTAAGAAGGCATCTAAAAAGGAAAAATCTAAACAGAAAACACCTTCTAAAACAAAGAAAGCAGTGAAGAGTGCTAATGTCAAGAAGGCGGATAGCAGCACTACTAAAAAGAATCAGAACAGTTCCAGAAAAGGTAAATGTTTAATTTTTTACATAAGCAGGGGCCAACCTTTTTGGCAGGTGTGCCATACCCTCCCCAAGTGTTGCTTTCTGTCGCTTTCCTTTACCTGATCTGCTGCTCTTGATTTCTGTTCCCTGACCTGTTCTCCCTGACTAAGCTGCTGCTCTCCTTTCTGCCTGGTTGTCTCTGCCTGCTTTCTGCTCTGCTTTCTGCTCTGCTTTCTGCCCTATCTACCACTGTGTTGCCTGTCCCCTTTCCGATCTGTCAAGGGCCACGTAGAGTGCTTGTGCCACTTGCGGCATCTATGCCACAGGTTGGCCACCCCTGCTTTAACACCATGAATCATTTTATAGCTTAACTTGAATGCTTATTTAATGAGTTTCAACATAAGAGTGAAGCAGCTTGCTAATTGCTGCTCTTTGATGTAGACCTTACAAGTTTGTCTGTTTTGTTAATAAGGTTTTATATTTGAAATATAAACAGTCTGCTGAATGTCTGACAAAATCTGTAAAGGGACCTGTCTTGATCACATCTCACATCCCGTGTGGTGTACGTGTGTCAGAGTTCAGAATGTTTTTGCTAGACCAGGCGTTGTCAACTGGGGGCACACATACCCCTGGGGGGCCCTAGTGGGTATACGCGGGCAGGTGGGGATGGAGCACTGCCACCCACTACCCCGCGCTGCCGCCTTCCAGGAGCAGGGTTGGGGGGTGTGTGGGCCGGGAGCGGTCCGAGGCCCTTTTCTCGCGCGGCGGGCTGTGGCCAGCAGCCCGGACACGCTGGGTCGGGGAAGACAGGCGGCACACTAGAATTAGGCACGGACGCTTAGTGGTTGATTAAAGATTATTTTACTTGCACCGAAGATGGTTGCGGTGCAGGCAGGAAAACTTGCTTGAGTTGCGGTTACAAAACAAAACAAAAAACTTGAACCTGCAGAACATAAGGGTACGTCGCAATGGGGTTTCGGCGATGGGAAGAAAAAAAACTACAGGACTCGAACCCCGGGTAGAGCTCTGGATTCACTCACACGAAGTTTGCTAGGCTCCGTGGAACTTGCGCGCAGGGAAGGGTACGTCGAGGGATCAGGCGGCGACGGGGAGAGGCGAGAGGTTGATCAGACCCCTATAGCCTTCTTGAAATACACGCTGGGTTCGATAGGCTCCACAGCGCTTAGAGATCTTCATGAGACGTGAAGTTCTCCTCCTCCTGATAGTCGTGGAGTCCTCCAACTTGGGCGGAAACCACTCAAGCCTCTTATACGGCTAGCAAGCC